TCTTGGGTATATCTTTACCAGCAGTGTGAGAACAGACTAATACAGTAAACTGGTACCCAGACTAGGATGCTACTATAAAGATACCTGAAAATGTGGGAGCGACTTTGGAATGGGTAACAGGCAGGGTCTGGAACAGTTTGGAGGGCTCAGAAGACAGGAAGATGTGGGAAAGTTTGGAACTTCCTAGAAAATTGAATGGCTTTGACCAAAATGCTGATAGAGATATGGACAATACAATCCAGGCTAAGGTAGGCTCAGATGGAGATGAGGAACTTGTTGGTAACTGCAGTAAAGGTCACTCTTGCTATGCAAAGAGACTGGCAGCATTTTGCCCCGCCCTAGAGATCTGTGAAACTTTGAACTTGAGAGAGATGATTTAGGGTATCTGACAGAAGAAATTTCTAAGTCGCAAAGCATCCTAGAGGTGACAGAGCATAAAAGTTTGGAAAATTTGCAGCCTGATGAAGTGGTAAAAAAGAAAACCCCATTTTCTGGAGAATTCTAGCTGGCTGCAGAAATTTGCATAAATAACCAGGAGCCAAAAGTTAATTGACAAGACAATGGAGAAAACATCTTCAGGGCACATCAGAGACCTTCATGGCAGCCCCTCCCATCACAGGCTTGGAGGCCTAGGAGGGGAAAAAATGGTTTCCTGGGCTGGGTCCAGGGCCCTCCTGCTGTGTGCAGCCTCAGGACTTGATGCCCTGTGTCCCAGCCATGGCTAGAAGGGGCCAAGGTAGAGCTCAGGTCATGGCTTCGAAGGATGCAAGCCCTAAGCCTTGGCAGCTTTCACATGGTATTGGTCCTGTGGGTGTGCAGAAAACAAGAACTGAAGTTTGGGAACCTCTGCCTAGATTTCAGATGATGTATGGAAACGTCAGGATGTCCAGGCAGAGGTGTGCTGCAGGGGCGGGGCTCTCCTGGAGAACCTCTACAGGGGCAGAGTGGAAGGGAAATGTGGCTGCCCCAATAGGGGAGTCCCCACCAGGACATCACCTGGTGGAGCTGTGAGAAGAGGGCCACTGTCCTCCAGATCTCAGAATGGTAGATGCACTGACAGCTTGCACCCTGTGCCTGGAAAAGCCACAGACACTGAATGCCAGCCCATGAAAGCAGCCAGGAGGGGAGCTGTACCCTGCAAAGCCACAGGGGCAGAGCTGCCCAAAACCATGGGAACCCACCTCGTATACCAGCATGACCTGGATGTAAGACATGGAGTCAAAGGAGATCATTTCAGAGCTTTAAGATCTGACTGCCCTGTTGGATTTCAGACTTGCATGGAGCCTACAGCCCCATCATTCTAGCCAATCTCTCCCATTTGCAATGGGTGTATTTACTCAATACCTGTAACTCCACTGTATCTAGAAAGTAATAAACTTGCTTTTGATTTTACAGGCTCATAGGCAGAAGGGACTTGCCTTGTCTCAGATGAGACTTTGGACTATGGACTTTTGAGTTAATGCTAAAATGAGTTAAGACTTTGGGGACTGTTGAGAAGGCATGATTGGTTTTGAAATGTGAGGACATGAGATTCGGGAGAGACCAGGGGTGGAATGATATGGTTTGGCTCTGTGTCCCCACCCAAATCTCATCTTGAATTGTAACTCTTATAATTCCCATGTGTTGTGGGAGGGATCTGGTGGGAGGTAACTGAATCACGGGGGTGGGTCTTTCCCATGCTATTCTGGTGATAGTGAATAAGTCTCACAAGAACTCATTGTTTTATAAAAGGGAGTTCCCCTGCACATGTTCTCCTGTCTGCCACCAGGTAAGATGTGACTTTGCTCTTCCTTTGCCTTCCACACGATTATGAGGCCTCCCCAGCCACGTGGAACTGTGAGTCAATTAAGACTCTTTCCTTTATAAATTATATTACCCAGTCTCGGGTATGTCTTTGTTAGCAGCACGAGAACAGACTTACACAATGTAATCCTACCACCAAAAATACTAAATGTTATTCTGGGGTATTTCAATCTGGCTTTTTTCCCCCATGAATGGAATAGGTTTTAACATAGCTTTAACTAGGCACAAGCAAATGTACATATATGCAATGTTTTCCTCTTAACTTTATCTCATAAGCATTTTCTATGTAATTATAGTACATTCTCTTCACAAGCACTATTTTTTACGGCTGCAGACTAGTCCAAGAAACGGGTTTCCCATTGTTTGCCTAATTCTTCCCCTCTGTCCCATGTTTTAGTAGCTTCTGTCTTTACTGAGTTAAATGTTATTAATATAAATAGCTTTAGGTTGCTAATACTTAGCTCCAGTTGCTTTCCTAAAAGTATACACTGATCAATGTACACTTTGAGGATTTTGTTTCTGGGTAGCCCACTCTGTGCTCCAAATGAAAACTAACATCCCAGAGGCTCTCCACTTATTCAGTCCTCTTCATGAAGCTTTAGGAAGGGAGCATTTCAACATCTGCTACTTGCCAGGCTCTGCTGTGCATGTGTAATGTTATCTCATTTAATTCTTCCAATCCAAGTTTCAAGACTTCAGCGATCATCTCGGCTTTTCATTCATTCAAAGTAGTACTGAGTGCTTATATAGTGCCAGGTACTGGTAACACAGTAGTAAGCAAAACCAAACTCCCTCAGGAGTGTTTACCCTGTCTCAAAGGCACTCCAAGACATTAAAAAGTAGCCACTCCATTTCTGTACTACTCTGATAACAAAACATTTCAATAGCTTCCATTACACTTCAGAAGAAATCCAAATTATTTTCCCTAGCCCACAAAGCCCCACTTCAGCTGGCTTTGCCTACCCCACCCATACCATCCCCTGCCATGTTATCCTTACCCATTAGGCCTCACCACTTGAATACGCTAAGCTCTTTCCACTTGAGCCATTCCCCATGACTGAACCTCCCACTCCGATCATCAAAAATTCAAGCCCCTTCCCATCTTTTAGGTCTTAGCCGAAATGTCACCTCTTCATGACTTTCCTTGGTCACTCATCATCTAAGAGGTTCACCAATATTTCCCTACTCTGTCACATCTTCAGTTCATTTCTTTCCATAGCACTTATTCACTGCAACTGTTTTGTCGGCCTTTCTTCCCTACTTGAAATGGGGTTATCTGCCACTGTATCCACAAAGCCTACCACAATACCCAGTGGGCAGAATACATGGAAACTCAACCATGTGCTGAATGAATAAAATGTTTTTCCTTTACCTGGAATGATATCTAGTTTCTTGAAACTTCCACCTCTTGATCCTAATTTTACTCTCTATAAATACATTGGGAAAAAAGTATACTTTACTGCATGTGTATCATAGTTTAAGTATATACTAAATCCATTATTTTGTTAACTGCACCACTCACCTGTGTTTTAGCAATTGCAAACTTTGCTGACTTGAGAGTATCAAGAAGCAGATAAGGGCACGACTCCCAAGCGACATCACCTGGGTTGGAATATGAGCTCCAATACTTATACACACGAAATGGATCTCACTTGTGTGATTTTGAACTAGTTATCTAACTGGTATCCCAGTTTCCTCATTTGGAAAATTAGGATAAGACTTCAATTATTGTGAGAATTAAATGGGATAATGTATGTAAAGCATTTACCCCAGTTCCTGGTACAGGAATGTTAGCTGACAAACTACTACTGCTGTCTCACCAGCTAGACAGGAAAGCTCCTTAAAAGCGGTACCATTGGCCGGACGCGGTGGCTCACGCCTGTAATCCCAGCACTTTGGGAGGCCAAGGCGGATGGATCACGAGGTCAGGAGATCGAGACCAGCCTGGCTAACACGGTGAAACCCCACCTCCACTAAAAACACAAAAAATTAGCCGGGTTTGGTGGTGGGCACCTGTAGTCCCAGCTACTCGAGAGGCTGAGGCAGGAGAATGGCCTGAACCCGGGAGGTGGAGCTTGCAGTGAGCCGAGATGGCGCCACTGCACCCCAGCCTGGGCGAAGAGTGAGACTTCGTTTCAAAAAAAAAAAGGCGGTAACATTATTTTTTTATATTTCTAAGACCTACCTTATACAAGTTTCAACAAATCTAGATTTAAAGTTATCATCCTACAAGTCTGGCTAAGATATCCCTACTTCCATATATTCCCCTAACACGCTGAACCTAGCCCACCTGTTATTTATCCCAACAGTCATTTTACTATTTTGTCTCCAACACCTGACCCTTAGGAGCAGGTATATCTTGCTCACCACGCTATCCTCAACACCTGCAACACCAAAATTTGATAATTCAGTGAATAAATCACTGTGAGCCTCCATTTTCCCTATGAAAATCATTTTTAAAATTATTTATTGTCTGTCACTGCCCATTCCACACAATGAAAACGTAGGCAGCCAAACTCTGTCTTGTGAACTGCTGTACCTAATATACCCTACTGGAGGCTCCAAAATATTTGGTAAAGGTGGTTTTGTTTTTGTTTTTGTTTTTTTCTGTTAAGACATGTTGATGCTCGTAGTTTTGTGCTACGGAATTAAATACTAAGCCTGTCTATTGACTCCGCAGCGTTACTGATGAGCTAGCTATGTGTGCTCATCAATATTTCTCCAAAGCCTAGGCAGAAATAGCAGATTATGTATTGAATGAACAGATGGACCTGTTACTTTTTAAGACTGAAAAGAGATGCAGCAAAATAAGAAAGGCAGTATCGAATACAAGGGCTTTGAGCGACTTGAGTAAGGTTTTTGTTGTTGTGTTACAGTTCTTTAATTCCCAAAAGAGTAGTTAACAGTGTATAATAGAAGCTCTTTTTTCTTTAAGTAAATGAATGTGCAAAAGACAACGAGTCAAATATCCCTTCCTTCCCCCACCTGTCTCTTACGACCTGGCAGTGCAGACATAGCCTTGATACCAGGCCCGCCAGTGGCCTGGGAGCCCCGCGCTCCTTCCCAGACCTGGCTGCCAGTAACCCGAAGACAGTCCAGCGCGCAAAACCGGAAGACAGCCAATGCTGAGAACCCCCACCGGCTCCAATGCCGGACGCCAGCACTCTGAGCGACCCACCTCACCGCCCCGCACTCACCACCAGCGATGCCATGAACCCCGGCCGGTCCATGGTCGCTCAGACCTCGTAAAGGCTACAATCCAAGCCGGTGCAGAGGCGGATCACGTCCACGCGCGGTGGGCGTCGCCATCTTTGAGGCGGGCCTATCGTGCACTTCCGGGACCACGTGACGTAGAACCACAACAACTGCACGTGCAAACGCCCAAGACCCGGGCCAAGAGGAGGGCGAGAGAGGAGGGGCGGGGCCTCGGGGAGTGTGGTCGAGCTAAGTCTCGGCAATTCTCTTACCTCTGTTTCCTGCAGCAGCGTTGTGTGCAGCTAGACGGAGGAACTCTCGCGAGCAAAAGATCCTCGGCTGGGATCCAGGAGAGAGCAGCCGTAGAATGAGGCCGGGGTGATTCTGAACTGTAAACCCAAAAGAGGCGTGGCTATGGCGGAGGGAGGGGGGGTACTAACCTCTGGAGGCGCGATTCGGAAACCTAATCGGATATTTCATTTTGGTTTATCTCTTAGTTTTGTCAACAAATTTTATCTGAGTTTATATTAAATTAACTCATTATCAGAAGATTATTAAAGATATAGAAAAATACTTAAAAAGTTTCCTGACCGGAGCTAAAAATTAGCATCCTCCATTTCTCTTTACAGGCAATTATTGTACTTAAAATTATTAGTTTGTTCAGTTGTTTACCTGTTCATGTTGTTCGCTGTTGTACTCATGTGTACACCTCAAAGCACACGTTATTAAGTACTTAATACAATTTCTTGGAGTGAACCTGTCTTTATTAAACAAATACCTTGTAAACTTTTGTGTATATTAAGGGCCAACTACATCAGACGTGGTGCTAAGTGATTGACAGACATTTTTTCATTGAATCCTTTCACCAACCCTATGATGTCAGCACGGCTACTGTCCTCATTTTACAGAGGCTCCTGATGCTCCAACAAGTAACCAACTCAGTGTGGCTACAGAGAACATAGCAGAGCAAACACTGAAAATATACTTAATGCCCTCATCATCTTTCCTCAAAACCCTTATAATACCTGAACAGGCTCCTTGCCTGGCCTTTCTTCAATCCCTATTCTATAACAGTTAGAATTATTCTTGTAATTATTCTTATTCTCTTCTAGATAAAATGATCTAGAAATGATTCGCAGAATAGCTTTAGGTGTTAGATGGAATTCAAATTCTGAGCTATCACCTGCTAGGTTTGGGCATAAGTTTTCCAAGATTAAGTTTTCTCACCTGTAAAGTGGCGATAATGATAGTAACTTTGTCATGCGGTACTATTAATAGATTAAATGAGATAATGCACTCAAGTTCTTAGCCTAGTTCCTGGCTCATAGAAAGTATTCTCTAAAGATGATGGTAATGTCATTTCCCTGCTTACAATGCACCCCTGCTGCCAATGGAGACAGTCCAGCTCCTTAGCATGGTATACACCTCTCAGCTGGTGTCTCCTGTCACTCTTCCCTCTAGCCAGACTACACACAAACAGACTATACACTTTCAAGCCTCCTAATTTTGCCCATGTTGTTCTCTCTACCCAGAATACCTTTCCCTATGCCGCCTATAGGCCCTCTCAAAACATGCTAGTTCACTTTGTCAAGGCCAGCAGAAAAATCTCTGTTGCTGCTGTTTGTGTCTTTCAAAGTCTCTGTGTTTTGGTCAGGCCTACCCAGGATAATCTTCATTTTTATTAACTCAAAGTCAACTGATTAGAGACCTTAATTGTATCTGCAAAATCCCTTTTGCCATATATTATAATATTGTCATGGTGGTAATGTTCTATCATACTCACAGGTCCTGCTCACATTCAATGGGGTAATTATGCAAAACACATTAGGGGCCAGGAATCTTGAGGGCAACCTTAGAATCCTGCTACTTCACATTCCTATAAACCCTCACTGGCAGCCTCCTCAAAGGCCATCAAGGTTCTATCAATAAGCTTTCACTGATACTTCCCTCACAGTCTTCCCACCTTTCACCTACCGCCTGGTGCCAATGGCACTCCCACAGTTTAGGAATTACAGTACTACCCACCTCCAAGTACCAAAATCCATATTATTTGTCTATTTCTGCATAACAAATTACCCCCAAAATTTAACAGACTAAAGCAACGATAAACTTACATTACCTCACACAGTTTTCATACATCAAGAATCAAGGAGTCATTTAGCTGAGTGTTTCAGACTGAGAAATTTTCATGACACTACAGTCAAGATGTTGGCCAAGGCCATATCATAAGACTTGATTGAGACTGGAGGATCCAATTCCAAGATGGCTCACTCCCATAACTGGCAAATTAGTGCTAGCTATTGGCAGGTAGCCTTAATTCCTCATGGCATAGATCTCTCCACAGTGCTACTTGAGTGTCTTCATGATACAGTAGCTGGTTTTTCCTAGAGTAAGTGGTCTGAAAGAGAACAAGACAGAAACTACAAAGTCTTTTATGACCTGTCCTCATAAGTTACTCAGTTGTCATTCCAGCAATAGTCTATTGGTTACACAGGTCATCCACATTTATCATGGGGCTAGACTACCCAAAAGCATAAATACTGGAAGATGAGGATCACTGGGTGCCATCTTGGAAACTGGTTACCACATCAGGGAAATGCCGGTGAACACCACAATGAGATACGAATACACACTCACTAGGGTGGTTAAAATTAAAAAGACAAGTGTTGACAAGGATGAGGAGCAACTGGAAATCTCATACATTGCTGTTTGAAATTTAATATGGTACAACCATTATAAAATCCAATGCCCCACTTAGGTATTTACCCAAGAGAACTCAACATTCATACAAATACTTTTACATTGTATTTCAAAGCAGCTTTATCCATAATAGTAAAAAAATGAAAACAACCTGAATGTCTATCAACTTGTGGTATAAACATATTACGATACATCCTTATAATGGAACATCACTCAACAATAAAAGGACATGAATTACTGATACATGAAGCAACACGGATTAATCTGAAATCATTATGCAATGTAAAAAAAAAAAGACTACATATATTGTGATTCCACTTAAGTGAAATTCTGGAAAAGACAAAATTATAGTGACAAAAAGTATACAAGTGGTTTCCTGGCAGTGGAGGTAGAGGCAAAGGATTGACTACAAAGTGGGCACAAAAGAATAGTTTGCAATGATGAAGATATTATCTGTTGTTATTGTGGTAGTAGTGCATGGGTATATACATTTACTAAAACACACTGACTTGCACAATTAGAATGGTTGTACTTAGTATATGTAAACTATAAGGCTGGGCACTGTGGCTCACGCCTGTAATCTCAGCACTTTGGGAGGCCAAGGTGGGTGGATTACCTGAGGTCAGAAGTTTGAGACCAGCCTGGCCAACACGGTGAAACCCTGTCTCTACTAAAAATAGAAAAAATTAGCCTAGTGTGGTGGCGCACACCTGGAGTCCCAACTACTCAGAAGGCTGAGGCAGGAGAATCTCTTAAACCCAGGAGGCGGAGGTTGCGGTGAGCCGAGATTGGGCCACTGCACTCCAGCCTGGGTGACAGAGCTAGACTCCATCTCAAAAAAAAAAAAAAAGTAAACTATAGGTCAATAAAGTTGATTAAAATACTACTATCTCACGGGATGATGAGGAATAAATAATATATGCACAGAAAGTTTTAGTTCAGTGCTTGGCATATAGAAAATATTGAGTTTATTCTGTATTTTCCTATTTAAGTTAGAGATTCTGAATATTATGAATGAGAGACTGATAAGTTATCAAGGTGCATAAGTATTTTGTGATACATACTACTACAGCTTCCTAAGTGAAAATAAATCTTATTTCTAGCTACTAATGTTCCTGGAAGTTTTTGATGTCATTCTTTCCCTAAGAGAAAATTTAACCTAGACTTAAAACTTTAATTTTGATTTAATACATTCTTTGAAGTAAAATTAAGAAAAAAAAACCTATTTTCCTCTTCAATGCAATGATTGTCTTTAACTTTGCAAGAAAAAAACTGTGTTGATGTCGTTTTCTGGTAACCTGGAGGGAAATGTAATTTATCAGGTACCTTTCAAAATCAAGAAGAAGTAGATATTCTCTCTTTTTATGCAAGTAAAGTCTTTACCAAGTATTTCATGATACCACTGGAACCCCTTTAGGAAATACAGATATTACAAACATGACCTAGGGCTTCCTTTTCATGAAATGCTAGCAGAAAAACTCATTACTACTTGTGCATGCTTTTTAAATGGAGTATTTCAATGCATCATCATTATCACCACATTGCAGGCAGCATATGTTCTCAAATCTTTCATTTTAAAAGATACAGGCAATGTGGTAAGCACTGATTTGCATTATACATGTGATATTATGATAATACTGTCTTTCTCACTTAAATCTATCACTGTAAGCCAAGTTTTCTTTTAAACAAGCTCTAAAATCATAATAGTATTTATAAAATTAGCAAGAAATCAAAGACATAGCTCAAAAAATAATTTAAGCCTAGCTTAAAAAAAAAAAAAAAAAAAAGGACATGATCTTCAACCAGGACTAGGCTTACGTTCCAAGCCCCTGTTACTGTTTTGTTCGTTGTTGTTTGTTTGTTTGTTTGTTTGTTTTGAGACAGATTCTTGTCCTGTTGCCCAGGCAGGAATACAGTGGTACCATCTTGGCTCACTGCAACCTCAACCTCCGGTTTCTAGCAATCTTCCTGCCTCAGCTCTGCAAGTAGTTGGGACTACAAAAGCATGCCACCACACCCAGCTAATTTTTGTATTTTTAGTAGAAATGGGGTTTCACCATGTTGCCCAAGCTTGTCTCGAACTCATGAGCTCAAGCAATCCACCCACCTCAGCCTAGAATTACAAGTGGGAACCATGGCACCCCACCCCATGTTACTGATTTTTATTGAAAAATACGGTAATATTTGTTAAGATCTGAATGTGTCCCCCAAAATTCTTATGTTGAAACTTAATCACCAGTGTGATAAGAGGTGGGGCTTTTAGGAGGCAATTAGGTCATGAGGGCTTCTCCCTTGTGGATATGATTAAAGTCTTCATAAAAGAAGCTTCACAAAGTATTCATTCAGCCTTTTTTCCCTTCCACCTTTTGCCATGTGAGGATACTGTTCAAAAGTGCCATCTTGGAAGCAGGAACTGGGCCCTCTGCAGACACTGAATCTGCCAGTACCTGGACCTTGGACTTCCCAGCCTCCAGAATTTTAAGCAATACATTTCTGTTCTTTACAAATTAACCAGTCGGTGGTACGTTGTTATAGCAGCACAAATGGACTAAGACAACAGTTAGAATCATTTTCAATAAAAATATTCCTGGAACTATTTCAATCCATCTACAAAGGGTAGTAAATATATATAATGGAAAGAAAGT